TTAACTATGCAGGTCATGGGAGATGCTTTCTTTTCTCTGTCTGTAATAATAATACCAGCTGCTCACATGGGTCTTGGTAACAATGTTTTTAACTGACCTCTTTGGATTCCTGGAAAATGCTATGACTAAAAATTTCCTCCACTTTCTTCTGTTTTGAAAAATGGCCTTACTTTTCCACAAAAATCAAGACAAGACAAGGATGTCCAGTATCACAACTTCTATTTAACATAGTACTTGAAACATTAGCCAGAGCAATCAGGTAAGAGAAACAAACAAGAGGGATACACATAGGAAAGAAAGAATTCACGTTATCATTATCTGCAGATTGCATGACCCAAAGAACTCCTTCAAAACTTCTGTAAAATTAGTACCAATATCAGCAATATAGCACATTCAAGATAAACACACAGAGATCATTCGCATTTGTGAATACCAACAATGAATAGGATAAGGCCCTTATGAATATAATACCATTCACAGTAGCTTCAAGAAAAGTGAAATACCTTACAGATATCCTAGCAAGGAAGAAAAAGCTCTCTACAAAGAAAACCAAATTACTCTGAAGGAGGATATAGAAGAGGACATCAAAACACAGACAGATATCCTCTGCTCCTGGATAGGCAGATCCAATATTATCAAAAATGGTCATATTTTCAAAACCATTATACAGATTCAATTCAGTCCCAATTAAAATTCCAACAGCACACTTTACAGAATTAGAGAAAGAAGTCCTAAAATTGTATGTGACTAGAAGAGAGGCAAAGTAGCAAAAGTAATTTTGGGTAAAAAGACAAAAGAGGAGGCCTTTCAATACCTGACTTCTAACTATAATACACATTAATAGTGATAAAGTACCAGGGTTCTGGAATAGGGTTCTGGAATAGAAACAGATTTGTGCAATAGTGGAACAGAGTATATTAAAACATCTCCACCTGATATTGAAAAAGGTGCTAAACATGTTCACTTGAAGAAGGGTAGCTTCTTTAATAAATGGGGTTGTAACAACTGGCTTTCCCCATGCCAAAGATTGAAACTAAACCCATGCCTATCACCATGCACAAAACTAAACTCTAAATGGATTAATGATCTAAATGTTAAAGCAGAAGCACTGAATCTACTGGGAGATAAGGTAAGTAAAAGTCTTGGAGACCCCGGTGTAGGCAAAGAATCCATTAACAAAAAGCAAACTACATGGGAAACCCTTCAAAGAATCAACAACTGGGATTCACATTATTGAAAGTTTCTGCACTTCAAAAGAAATCACCCACAGAGTGAAAAGAAAACCAACAGAATGGGAAAGGATTTTAGCCAGCAATCCCTCAGGCAAAGGACTTATATCTAGAAAATATAAAGAATTGAAAAACATCAAGCCCCCCAAGTTCAAAGACCTTCTCCAAAAATGGGCATCTGAGATGAACACATAGTTCTCAAATGAAGACATACAAATAGCAAATAAATACATGAAGAAATGTTCACCACCACTGGTCATTCAAGGACTACAAATTAAAACAACTATGATATTTCATCTCACTGCAGAAAGAATAGCTGCCATAAAGAAAACTACTGATAACAAATGTTGGCAAGGCTGCGGGGAAAAAGGAACACTGCTCCACTGTTGGTGAGAGTGTAGACTTGTGTAGCCACTATGGAATTCACCATGGAGATTTCTCAGAAGACTAGGATTGGAAGTTCCATTCAACCAGCTAGTCCCCTCCTGGGTATTGTCCGAGAAAACCTGTAAAGCTCATGCCACAGTGATAAATGTGCACTCATGTTCATAGCAGCACAATTTGTAGTAGCTAAATCTTGGAAACAACCAAAATGCCCATTAACTGCTGAGTGGATGAAAATGATGTGTTATTTTTATACAATGGACTATTACTCAGTTATAAAAAGGGTGATTTTGAGGCCTTCATAGGTAAATGGAGGCTACTTGAGACTATCCTCTTAAGTGAAATAAATATGAATCATATTTATAAACATCACATTGTGTCTCTAGTGTAGAAAGTAATAAGAACTGTAGGAGTAATAAAACTCAAAATGTGTAATTGCTATTGTAAAAAAGAGAGGAAATGAAAGTGCTCTAAAGAATACAACTGCATGTATGTTTAAGTGTGTAAGATAGATGATCATATTACTGTTTTTGTTGGATGGTTAAGCAGAACTGTTTGCAGTCTCACTGTTTGAATGTCCACTTTATATGCTTTAATTTTGTAGCTTGAAAAACTATTTCTAAGATGACTGTATGTAATTTACCATCTAGTGATTATTTAGTGGTTTTTTTTTTTGAAATTTTGTATTATTACTAGCTTTTTTTTTTCTGTTTTGCTTTTTTCCTTATAAATAAAATAAATTAAATAAATAAATAAAACATCTCCTGGCACATCTGGCTGTTTGATATTTGGTTTCAAGGCCAAAAGCCTATGCTAGAGAAGACCTAGGCTACTTGGTAGTGTTTGAAAAGCTGTATAACAGTGAAGAGTTAAAACATTTAGGAAACCCCCTCTTGCCTTGTCACACAGTCAGAACAACCAGATGTTCTGGCCTGATAGGGAACTTGTGGTCCAACGTTCCCAAAAATAAGAACACCGTGAACTATCGACCCTGCCAGACAGGATATGAGTTTTCAAAAACATCAAGCCACCTACAGCGGATAGCTCATCCACCAATAAGCAAATGACAGGACCCCTATTAACCAATGCCATCTGCTTCTGTAACTGATGCTTGCTTTGTGGTTTTTGGCTTTATATACCCTGCACTCCCCTACCCGGGAACTCTCCCCACTGGAGTGTAGTCAGAGAGAGTCCCACGCATGTGCAGATAATAAAACCCCTTGATTTTTCATGAGAGCTGGTTCCTTGGAGTCTTCTTCGCAACGGTGATCTTACAACAGCAGAAGGCTGACACTGGGCCCTTATCTCTCAGTATATTCTAAATTAAAATTGAAATAGTAAAATTCTAAACATTGTATCAGAAGCCTTACCCTACTGGAAGATAAAATAAGTAAAACATTTGAAGACAGGTTTAGGAAAGGCATTTCTAAACAGAACCTCAGTTGCACAAGATATTAAAGCAAAAATCACCAAGTGAGATTCTGTCAGACTAAAATTTTTGTACATCAAGAGAATCAATTAGTAGGGTGAAGACATAACTATAGTGTGAAAAAAATGTTGCCAGTTAGTCCTCAACAGAAGACTAATATCAAGAATATATAAAGAACTCGAAAATTAAACCACCTAAAATTAAAGACCAAGTCAAGAAATGGCCAAGAGAAATGAACAAACACTTCACAGAGGAAGAAAGACAAACTGTTAACCAATATATGAAAACTTGTTCAACACTGCTGGCCATTATGAAAATGCAAACTAAAACATCACCAAGATTCTATTTGACTCTGGAAAGGATGGAAATCATTAAGAAATCAAACAATAACAAATGTTGTAGTGCTTGTGGTGAAAAATGAACCCTCCTTCATGGTTGGTGGAAATTAAAGCTAGTACAAATGTTGTGGAGACCACAAAACTAACATTAGAATTTCCACATCATCGACCCAGTGATTACTTTTCTAGGTATCTTACACAAGAAGCTTAGGATATCATACTACAGCAATACAAGTATACCAATGTTTATTGCAGCACAATTAATAATAGATAAATCCTGGAAGTGGCCTCTATATCCACCAGTGGATGATTAGAAAAAGAAAATGAGGTTTTGATATATATTGGAATACATGTGTGCTATGAAAATGATGAATTAGAGATATTTGTATGAAAATAGATAGACCTAGTAAATAAAATTTTGAGAGAAATAAACTAGACAAGCTAGTTAAATAACATTTTGTACCTCCCATTTCTGTGAGACAAAGTACAAATAAAGAATAATAAATGATGGCTAGAAGAGAACAAGAAATGGATCTCTTACAGTAAGAAAGACGTCCAAGGAAACAAGGGTGAAGGGTGATGAGAGAGGGGAGAGGAAAGAAGCAGAATAAAGATATGCCACGGAGAGGAATCTAATTACCTCAGTGAACATAAGCATTACATGTCACCACATATTATTAGCATAACATGTTAATATTAACAAAAATTAAGATTCAAATAGAAAAATTAGAGGAGGGAGAGGTGGAGAAGGGAAGAATGATTTTACAAAGAAGAAATAAACCGTATTATATACATGAACCCACTCCCAATTGACTATAAACTGCATGTACTGCAAACATTCACAAATAAATTTTTTAAAGTTATAAAAAAAAGAGAAAGGACTCAGTGCAAAGAACCTCATGTGATTTAACTAAGATATGTGCTTCCTCTTTGTCTTCTCAGAAAGTTATGACAGATCAGACACAGAGAGTGTAATTCTCACTCTTTGATTAACAAATGATAGACAAATGTTCCTCCCTGTTAACCAAATATCAGTTAGGCTTTAAATTTTCCTCCATTCTCTTAAAATCTTACTTACCATCTTCTTACCCCACGTAAAACTACTCCTTACTGACCTATCCTAATAAACTGTTCACCTTAGGAAAACATTTGCTGATTGTCCCAGTATCCCCATTTCTGTCTCCTCCTAGCCTGGTTGATTTTCATTGTCATTTAAAAAACAAACAACAACAACAACAGAAAAACACCTTTCTGCCTTAGCTTACAGATACCTGTGACACTGTTGGTTGCATTGTTTTCTCTGTTTCAATGGTTCCCCTTGTTACAATAATTCTTTTACATAAAATTTGGCTTGACCTAATCATGGATATCTTTTTATTTGATAATATAGGTCATCAAATTATTTTCTGGCAATTTAAATTAAACACACTTTCTTGCCATATTTGTAGCTATTTTTTATTTAAAAAGATAACTACAAATTCATTTTGTGTTCTTAATATGTCTCAATCCCTGAGTCTCTGACTGCTTCTTATGAATATTTCCATTGATTTCTGCTTCTACTTTCCTCCCCACATTTGTTGCTATAGATTTCTGTCTACTCAATTTCCCATCTTCACCTACTTGCCTCCTTGAGTCTCTTGTCCTCAGTTTGCTCCAGAAAGATCGCATGGGGAGCTGCTTCTTTCGCCAGGGTTGTCAGGATGTTGACTCACAGCTTCAACTGAGACTCTGACTGTTTATATAAGCAAGGGCTTCAATTTATTTTCATTGAAGGAAGTGAAAAGCTTTCACTTTCCTTCTAAGTATTTTTTTTAAAAATATTTTATTCAAGTTTACTAAATTAAGTCTTGTATCATAATCTGTATATACTGGCTTCATGATAAGAATCATAGAGATTTTCCCTACACTGTTTTCTACCATGTCAAGCCTATTACTGGACTTCATTTTTAAGACCTGGATTTCTCTCTCCCTCCTCCAAGCAAGAAACACACTTGGAAGATGAAAGCTGCACAGTCAGTTGTTTACTTCCTCCCTTCTTCAAAGCAACTTTTTGCATTTTTCCATAAAAATAGGCATTATGGCCCTTTCCTGTAACCCTTTTTTGTACTTTTCTCTATACACAATTTTTCAACCTACTTTGTCAGTGGGGAAGAATTCATTGAAAAACGTATTTAGCAGCAAACTTGCCTAAATTGTTTTCTTTTTTTCTTTTAGTTGTTTCATTGTCATATAATAATTATTTTAGTACAAAAGATCAACATGTGGCACAGATCAGTTTGGGTGGGGCTCCCCTCCAATGACCCACCAAAGCACCTAGAGTAGGGGCACAAATGTCCTGGTGCAGACACACATACCAGCAGTTGGTAAGTTAAGAAAACCAGCATTGTGGTTCCTCACACAGATATGCAGAACAGAAATGGGCCAGAGGGCCACAATCCTTTTCATTTTTTTATTTTTAATCAATGGGCTCAGAGAGAACTCAAGGAATAGATCACTACTCCTAACCCCCATCCAGAGGCAAAAATCACCCCTATACCCAGCACAAATCCTACTGTAAACTTGGGTGGAGTACAGAGCACACTTCTGGAACTTAACTGGGACCTAAAACAAAACTGGGAACAACAGAGGAATTTTACTACAATGACATTTCTATGTTTGTTTGACTGGTTTTCTGTTTAGTTGGGGTGTTTTTTGATTTACTTTAATTTAGTTTGATCTTTTGTTTTCTTATGGTTTTGTTTTCAATTTTTCTCTTTTTATTTTCTTTTCTCTTTCATCAATGACTTAGATTTATTACTTTCTTTTTTTTTCTTCTACTCATCTTCTTTCTCTTTCATCAACTACTTTGCTTGATTTTATGATACTTTCATATGAATAAATGCTATTTCCTCTCTTTCTGGCCCACTTCAATGTCCCTCTACTTTCTCCTAAATTCTTTCCCCCTGTGTCTTCCATTTCCCACAGCTTAGGTGATCATCCTTTGCCCTCCAGTCTACACTTAGTACACTGGACCTCATTCATCTCTCCATCTGGTACCCCATCACTCTTAATACCAACTGCTGCTCGCAAGAGAGTAAAGTCACTCCTCTAAAGGGAAAATAATTACATAAAAGTTCCTTGTGTATTCTGTATTCTGCTGTAAAACTGTAGAATTTGCCGAAAAGGTTCACTGGAAGAAGATAGTCTCTTTAATAAGTGGAGCTGGAAAAACTGGCTTTCCCCATGCCAAAAACTAGACCCATGTCTTCGATCATGCAATAAACTAAATTTAAAATGGATGAAAAATTTAAATATCAGAACTGAAACACTAAATCTGCTTGAAGAAAACATAGGTAGAAATCTTGAAGACATGGGGTAGACAGAGAGTTCATGAACAAAACTAAGCAGCACAGAAAATACTTTAAAGAATCAACAACTGGTATCTCTGGTATTATTAAAAAGATTTTGTACATCTAAAGGAATTACCAACAGAGTAGAAGAAAATCCATAGCATGGGAAAAAAATTTAGCCAACTGTCCCTCAGACAAAAGATTTATATCTAGGATACGTAAAGTATTGAAAAAAATCAAGTGCCCCAAATTCAATGACCCAATCAAAAATGGCCATCTGAGATGAATATTCACTTCCCAGTTGAAGAAATACAGATAGCAAATACATATATTAAGAGAAGTTTAACATCACTGATCATGCAAGAAATACAAATGAAAACAATACTGAGATTCCACCTCACTCCAGAAAGAATGGCTGTTATAAAGAAATCACCCTATAACAAATGCTGGTGGGGCTGTGAAAAGAAGAAATCCTTCTCCACTGTAGGTGGGAGTGTAGACTTGGCAATCAGTGTGAAGATTCCTCAAAAGACTAGAATTAGAGGTCTCATTCATTTCAGCTATTCTCCTTCTGGATATTTTCCCAGAAGAACTGAAAACACCATACCACAGAAATATATTTGCACCGAGGTATATAGCAACACAATTTTTAACAGCTACATCTTAGAAACAACCCAGATGTCCATCATGCAAGGAAGAGATGAAAAAGATGTGGTATTTTCTGTCATTCTCTTGAACGGTTTTACATTGTCTTGATATGTTTGATGCTACAGTATACGAAGTTATACCCAAAGATTTTAAGGGGAGAGACACTATGGTGACTACAATTATGTCAAGATTATCTTGTGGTGAAACACTATTTTGCTCAAATGGCTATGTTCTGACCTGTGCTGTTCTGTTGTTATGCCCTCTTTTTTATCTCAATCTCCATTTTATTATCTATTTTCATTTTTATCCTTTTAATTAAGGAAAAAATAAATAAAAAATAGCAGGATATATTATAGTAACCCACTTTGATTTCCTATTAACTTGATTTGAAACTCTATATTGCTCTCACCATCTTGTTTTGACTGATTTTCCTCTAATCTGTTATGCTTGGTAGTACCAAGTTTGAAAGTATAGGCAACAACTATGAAGACAATAAGATTCATTGTGATGCCCATTCTGGTTGACTATTATCTTCTTTTAAAGTCCTCTAATGTCTCCAATGTTTTGGTTTTATTGGTCTTATCCTTTACTGTTTTGTTCAGTTTTATGATAACTGATGATATAGGCAATTCTTTTTAAGATAACAAGAGGCATTATGGTAACCATTGCTGATCACCTTGTATTTTGTTTTTACATTATGTATTATGTCCATCCTTTTGATTTGACTGACTCTGTCCTGGTATGTCACATTTGGTTTTTTGTTTGTTTGTTTGTTTGTTTGTTTTTATAGTATAACATGCACTTTATTATTTCTTTCCCAAGACAGTTTTCTTCAATCCATTAAGACCCAGTTCCTTACATGGGCTTTGGTGGAGGTCGTGGGGCAGCACCTGCAAGTCTAAATTGGGGTGGAGGTGTTCGGTCCTTCCAGGCTTCCCGGGATCGATTCCTGACCACTTTGGTGTGAATGGCACAACTCACACAGTAATGCAGCTTCAGATAGAGCTTGGGAAGGACATAACCATCGAAGACACTCACTTCACAAATGTCCCTGATGGCGGCGGCCTCTACAATGTTTCGAATAACAAAGTTCTTAATGGCCTTATCCTTGGGTATGCACCGGGCCCAGTTTGTGCAGCGAATAGGCTGCACATGACCACGACCCTTTTTAGCATGACCGTTGTTCCTTCTTTTTTTCGTCATCTTCGAAAGTAAGGCCCAAAAGAGCGTCACATTTGGTTTTACTTTCTTCAAAAAAAAAAAAAAAAGTAATAAGAACTGGGAGTAATAAAACCTAAAATGTGTAATTGTCATTATACAAAAGAAAGGAAAAGAAAGTTCTGTAAAAGATATAACTGCATATATATTTAAGTGTATAAGATAGATAACTATATTACTGAGTTTTGTTGGATCATTGAACAAAACTGTTTGCAGTCTCACTGTTTGAAAGTCCACTCTATATACTTTAATTTTGTAACTTCAACAACTATTTCTAAAATGACAATATGTAATTAACTAGTGATTTCCTACTGTTTATTTTTTCTGAAATTCTGTATAACTTGTACCCTTTTTCTGTTTTTTTCTTTTTTCTCCTTAAATAAAATTTTAAAAAAAGATGTATTTTTATACAATGTAGTATTACTCAGCTATCAAGAAGAATATACTTGAGGCTTTTATAGGTAAATGGATGCTACTTGAAACCATACTCACAAAAAAAATACATCACTCTCATGCGTAAATATCATATTGTCTCCCTCATGGAAAATTATGAAAGAGAAAATATGATCCAAAATGTATAATATATATTATCAAAGTGAAAGGGAAAGAAGCTGCTCAAAAGGAATGAACAACTGGGAAAAGGAGAAAAAAAGAAAGAAAAACATTATATGTATATAAATATATATGTGCATATACATACATGTATGTGCATATATGTATATAAAATACACAATTATACTATTAATCTATGTGTTCATAAAGAAAAAACAATTTGTGCTATCACTGTTCAGTGGTTTGACCATATTTTTCTGTCTCTATCTTGCAATCTGAACAACTTTGAAGATAACAGAGCACAGTATATTAATCACTATTAGTCTATTATTTTGTTTTGAAATTTTCTATCTTTTTAAAATGCTTTTTTGTTTTTAGAAAAAAACAAGATAAAATAAAATAAATGTAAACTCAAGAATGGTGATTCTTAGGTTGAATTCAAATAATAAAATTTAAGCATGAAAAACATAAAATTACAGATAAAAAGAGATTTATAAAAGATATGCTAGGCCAAAAAACAAATTATGAAAAAGTATTAATATCAGGTAAATCATTTTTCACGTAAATTTGCACTAGAGTTACAGTCAGTAGATTACAATACTCGATTCTATTTAATGGGAAATAATGACCATTCTTAATATATTACTTTCAAGAATAAAATAGCATTACATAATGTAAAGCAAAAACTAGAAACAACCACAGGAAATGGGCAAATCCATCATTAAAATTACATATTTTGCTTCATTTCTCTCTTACCTTAAATACTGATAAGTGTAGTTGACAAAATTTGGAAAATTAGGGCAGTACAACTAAGTTTAATGTAGATGAACATATATAGAGTTTTGTACTATTTAAAGAATGCATGCCCTTCTCAAACACACCTGCAGGAGTTTCAAAACTAATGAAGAACTAATGTAGATACCAGGAACAATCTGCAGCCTACCACATGAAAAGAACTTTGCCAATCTCCAATAGTTGAAAGCCAGCCTGGTTTACTTCACTGGAATTTCTATGCAAACATTTGCCCTTTTGTACTAAATGTGTTCTTAAAATTTACTACACATTTTCTGAATAAATACAAGGGAAAAAAAGGTATAGGTGACCATGGACAAAACTTAGAGGAAAACAGATTAATGGTAGTTCCTGAAGAGTTTCATAAAGATGGATATAAATATGGAAAAGATGAGATAGAGAAATCCTGAGGTAAAAATTGAAAAAACCAAATGAAAGATACAATAAAAGCTTCAACAAAAAAATAAGTGACTGAAGAAGAAGTAAAAGAACTTTAATGTAGATCAGTTGAATTTATGTAATCTGAGTGTGAAAAAAACATATGACAACTGTGGAATATCAGAAAATCCTAGGAGAGTATGCAGAATTGAAGCTCAAGAGGAAGAGGAAAGGAAAAAGATGCATACAGGGAGGGAGGAAAGGGAGAAGGGGAAGGAAGAAGGGAAGAAAGGAGAGAGGGGGGGATTATGTGTGTATTATGATTGATATGTGGCATGGTTGCTGCTTAGTATATTTAGAAGGTTAGTATTTAGGATGGTGGTATTGGGAATTGCTGAAGAATCTTTAAGGAGTGAAGTCTAATACAAAACCCAAGAGTCATTACGGTTGTACCTTCAAGATGGATTAAGACACCTCCTGTGACCCTGGTTAATATGCTGAAATTGGTGGTATAAAAGCAGCAAGCCTGGCTTCTCTCAATGTCTCTGCTTCCTAGTTGGAGACCGTGACTCTTTGCTTCCACAAACAATGCACCGCCTGCTTTTACAAGCACCTACTTTATGCTGCTTTGATTTTCATTCTTGAATATTATAAATTAATTCCTTTGCCTTTTGAAGTTAGAGGTTATATATATATATATATATATATATATAATTAGAGTAACAGAAAATAGGCTCATATACAAAAGTTGCTTTATTATTATAATCATACTTGAAGAGGAGCACTTGAAATTGGTTCATGGTCATAAATGAGAAGAGTTGCTAGAAAAGGACTAAAATGATGTGTGTGGAATATTAAGATCAATTCTAGTAAGGGCTCAGCTGATGAGAAAATAGTAAATTATCTTTATTTATACATGAAAATTCCAGTGGAAATTTTACTGGAGTTGATTCATGTAAAACCATGGCCAAAAAAGGTGGTAATACTGAGTTCATTCTCTATAAATTTGTGAAAATTGTAACTTAAGAATGAAGGTCTAGTTTATTTGGAGAAGGAGATTTCAAAACAGAATATTCACGCTTTAGGATGGGTGTTACTAATTGCTTTTCACCAGATTTTCAAGAAGATTTGGGACCAAAGGGAGCAGCATAAAAATATTAGAAAATTCATATCCTGATCAAGGAAGGAGTAAAAAAGGATAAACGTGGAAAAAAGGATCCCAGGCCTACAAATCAGGACAATAAAAACGACCACTCAAAGGAATCTCTGGGAATCTTTGTACCCAACTTCCTAGAGCCTATCCATCACATTTGTTGCAGAGACTTTCCAGGGTAGAATTTTGTTAAGAAAGGTCCCCAGGATACTCTGCAAATCCAAACCACTTTGTGATCTGCCTTTCTGGCAAAGAGCTCTGAATTTTCTGCAGCCATGGCTCATGTGGGCCTGAGTACAGCTCCTCCTGAAGGCAGAATGTGGCACAATCAACATAATGGTTTTGCAGATGTAGAAAATACAACAAATATAGTCATTATGTCTTTCACAGAAATCTTAACTGAAAGTCTGATAGGCCATGAAAATTTGCACTGCAAGAACTGAGTACACAAATTGCACCCTTGATGTGGTGAAACCTTGGAGTGGTAGAAGTTGAGCCAACATGAACCCCAAAGAGGTGGAATATGAAAGGGTTGAAACATCTGCTTGCGAAAACTGCAACGTCATTGTGAATCCTCAGGGAAAAATAACATGGTGAGAACTCTAAACCCATAGGAACACATCTGTCCATGGCACTTGGGTCATATATCTTGTTGCATTTTGTCCAGGATATACATATGGAGACACAGGACTGTGATTGCTCAGACCCCGGAATAAAATCCAAGGAAGCAAGAAATTAAAATTTAGGGAGCAAAGGCTTTATTTCCAGGCCTGGTGACACAGTATTCTCAGGATCAACCCAAAGACTGTGTGCCTCACAGCTGGGGGATTAGGTTTTTAAAGCTGAAAACCACAGCAATGTTGTAATCGCTGACACAGATAGCATCTGGGCTTCACAGAACTTCCTGTAATTTCCTTGAAGTTAAGCATTTCTTAAAGAACAGTACATTTTATTTTTTTAAATTTTATTTAAAAGGAAAAAGAGAAAAACACAAAACAAAACAAAGTGGTATAAGGGTACACTTAATACAGAACTACAAAAAAAAAAAAAACAGTAAGAAATCACCTGTTAATAGATTACATATTATGATCTTAGAAATAGTTGCTCAAATCACAGTATCAAAGTATACAAAGTGGACATTCAAACAGAGAGACTGCAAACAGCTGTGTTCAATGATCCAAAAACATTAATATAGTCAGCTATTTAACACTCCTAAACACACTTGCTGTTATATCCGTTAGAGCTCTTTTTTTTCCACTCTCTTTTTTACAACAAAACTTACACATTTTGGATTTTATTACTCCTTAGTTCTTACTACTTTTTGGGGGGTGAGAGAATAAAGTCAAATATGGCAAAACAAAGCTGTCAGTCAAAACCAAGGATAGACATAACACATGATATAAAACAGAGTACAAGGTTATCAACAATGGTTATCAATGATGTCTCTTGTTTCCTTAAAAAGAATTGTTTATCTCATTGGATATTATAAAGTTGGATAAAACAGTAGAGAACAAGACCAATAAAACCTAGGCATTGTAAACATTACAGGACTTCCAAAGGAGACAATAGTCAAACCAGAATGGGCATCTGAGTGAATCTTATTGCCTTCAAAGTAGTTGCCTATACCCTCAACCTTGATACTTTCATACAGAATGGAACAGAGTCTAATCAGTCAAAACAAGGTCGTGGGAGTATTACAGGACTTCAAAACAAGTTAATAGGAAATCAAAAAGAGTTACTATTATACATCCTGCTAATTTTTTTTTAATTTTCCCCTTAATTAAAACAAGCATAAGAGATAACTAAATAATTTTTTTAAAGAATAAGGGAGAGATTGAGATAAAACAGGACATAACAATATAACAATACAGGTCAAAGCATGACTGTTTCAGCAATCTAGTGCTTCACCACCAAATAACCCGACTTAATAGTAGTTACCATAGTGTCTGTCTTTTTCCTTGAAATATTTGAATAAAACTTCATATACTATAGCTTCAAATATTTCCATATCAAGAAGCCCAGAATAAAGCCTTTCCAATTAATAAGTGAAAACTTTAAAAGGCTTCAAGGCCACATAATGGGGAATCATGATTATCACATATTTTTATATATT